TCCTTTTCGAAGACCCTGATTTGCTTTTTTAACTCCTTATTTTCTCTTTGTAAGGCAATTAATTCTGAATTGGAGGGGGGAGAGGGAGGAGTAGGAACTAGATCACTCTCGGACTTACTCCTTTTTAATCTTTTGATATCCGAAGGCTTTACCCCTTCTTTAACTTTTTCTTTAAGTTCTTGTTGGAGTTGGTCTTTAGTCATGAGTTTTTTAATTTCGGGGTAATTGAGTAAATTGGCATCAGCAACAAATAAAACTACCATTTCATTGACTACCAAAATATCTTTTTTTTTGGCAAAAGAGACAAGTTTGTTTTTGCATAAGGAGATGGTAAGAAGGCTTTACCCTTCTCTCGGTTTTAATCTTTGGAAGTTTTTTTTAAACTTTTAATTTCTTTCTTTAATTCATCAATTTGGGCTTGTTCATGACCATTCTTTTTTTCTAGTTTAGCAGTTCTAGCACCTAGAGTAAGATTATAACCAAAAAACATTAGCAAGAGTAAGGCAATAGTTCCAAAAGCACCCAAGGCAATATAGAGGGCTAATCGACCATTAGCTAAGGCTAATTCACAACAGTTAATCATAATTTAACTTTCTCGATAAGCATAAACTGCACCACAGACAAAGAAACCAGCGACAAAACCGAGCAATTGAGTATGTCGGCAAAAAATGCATGTTCGATCATCTTGATGACGGTGCAGGGCGGAGTAAACTCCCATCCCGACAGTAACTAAGGCGGCTAGAGTTCAGATTTTTCTTTTATCCATAATTTTTACTATTTCTCTTTCAAACAGCCCATAATATCGGCTTGTAAGTAATGACCTAAACTTTGGCCAAAGGCTTGGTAATTCTGGGCTACTTCCTTTAATAACTGTTGCTTGTGTGCTTGTTGGGCGGCAGCCACTTCACTTTTATTGGACTTACAGTAATGAGCCACTTTGGTAATCTTGACTTTGGCATTGGCCGGACTAGCAATTTGGTCAATTAGGCAATTGTAATAGGCAAGAGTGTTAGTTTTAGAGCGAACGGGGCGGGATTTAGCCAAAGTTTTAGTCGGCTTAACTTTTACAGTGGATTTCTGAGTGGTTGGCACCACAATTACTTGATTTTTAGTTTTTTTAATTTTCTTCATAAATTTTTAATAGTTTTCTCTGCGAGGCTAGCGAACAGTCCTGATATTTAAAGGCAAAAAGGTTAAAGCGGTATTCATTAAGGTTTCCACGGTCTGATGGGCTAAAAAGCCACAAAAAACGGCCAAAGCCGAACAGATAAGTAGAGTAGGTGGTGACATAATTATTTAAATATTTTCTCCATGAGAATGTTTGGGTTAACCAAAGATTTCATTCAATCTTCGGAATTGTCCTTGACCGGTATTGGCTCAATGACGAACATAGAGACCGGTAATAAAACAAATACTAAATCAGATGAGGTATTTTTTGGACATAAGTTTAATTATTTTGATTTGGCTGAATAGAAGGCAGTGGCTGCGATAATTCGTAAATATAAGGGACTAAATAACCCGTGAGAACCCCCAGGGCTAAATATTTACTTTTTCCTTGTCAGAAGTAAGCAATAGCCAACAGCAAGAAGATTCCCAAAGCAATCGCAATTAAGGCTTTTTGGGTATTCTGACCAATGGCAGCATTTTGCTGAATTAATTGCTTAAACTCGTGGGTCTTGGTTTCGATGGTTTCTTTAACATTTTCCTCATAAAAGCCCTTTAAGGCTCCTTTGAGGTCCGGGAGATAATCTTTTCAGTTGACCATAATTAGTTAGATTCTTGCTGTTTTATGTAGTGATAAACTAATATTCCGGTGATGGCCGTAGCGACTAAGGCATAAGTAATTAACTGGGTAGTTTCGGAATTATTGGGCTGAATGGCTGATAAACTAGTGCTTAAACTTTGGACCGTGCT